GCAGCAGCTGCAGCAACTGCAGCAGCTGCAGCAACTGCAGCAGCTGCAGCACTTGCCACTGCAGCAGCAGCAGCAGCAGCAGCAGCTCCTGCAGCACCAGCAGCAGCAGCAGCAGCAGCCATTCCTGCAGCAAGAGCAGCAGCACGATGCTGGGGCTGCAGCAGACCCTCGCTATATATCGACGCAGCAGGAGCTGCTGCTGCTGCAGCAGCAGATGCTGTGGATGCAGCAGCAGCAGCAGCAGCAGCAACAGCAACTGCAGCAGGGTGGAGGACACCAGCCGGTTCAGCAGCAGCTGCAGCAGCAGCAGCCGAAGGAGCTGCAGCAGCAGCATCAGCTGCAGCAGCAGCAGCTGCTGCAGCAACAGAAGCAGCAGCAGCAGCAGCAGCAAGAGCAGCAGCACGTGCCCTTCCAGGCAGTAGCTCCTGGGTACCAGCCCCTGCCTGAGGCAGCAGCAGCAGCAGCAGCAGCAGCAGCAGCAGCAGCAGTTTCTGCTGTACCTGCAGGACTACCGGGGCAGCCGCCTCTCAGCAGCAGCAGCAGCAGCAGCAGCAGCAGCAGTAGCAGCAGCAGCAAACAGCAGCAGCAGCGGCCGCGAAAGCGAAATGATAAGCGCCGCCAGCAGCAGCAGCAGCAGCAGCAGCGGCCGCAGCAGCGTCAGCGTCAGCAGCAGCAGCAGCAGCAGCTGCTGCTGCAGCAGCAGCAGCTCGAAGACATCGATCCTTGGGGTCCTGCATCCCCGGCGGATGTACCAGCAGCAGCTGCTGCTGCTCCTGCTGCTGTGCTGGAGCAGCAGCACCAGCAGCAACAGCCGCAGCAACAGCAGCAGCAGCAGCAGCAACAGCTGCAGCAGCAGCAACAGCAACAGCAGCAGCAGCAGGAGGAAGGACAGTGGCTCAATGGTAGCAGCAGCAATCTTGCTTCTGCTGCTGCAGACAGTGAATCTCCTACTGCAGCAAAACAGCCCCAGCAGCAGCAGCAACAGCAGCAGCAACAGCAGCAGCAGCAGCAGCAGCAGCAGCAGCAGCGATCGATGAGCAGAGAAGATACCGTCAGCGATTGCTGCAGCAGCGGCAGCAGCACGAGGCTGCGCCGCTCAGGCCGACAGCCTGTGCCTTCTTCTCGGTTTGCTGCTGATGGTTTTTCTTCTGCTGCTGCTGCTGCAGCAGCAGCAGCAGCAGCAGCAGATGATGATGCTGATGAGGATTGGTGTGGTTCTGCTGCTGCAGCAGCAGCAGCAGCAGATGGTGATGCAGCAGCAACGCCGCTGCTGCCGAACAACATATACACCGCCAGCTTTAATCCTTCATTCGAAGCAGCAGCAGCAGGAGCAGCAGCAGCAGGAAGGATGTGGATCGTCTGCGTATCCCCTGGCAGCCTCCTT